CCTGCATCAACAGCCTGTTAGTAAAGTCAGCCCAGAATGAAAGACTTGCCTCCTCTTCGTTGAAGCTGTCTGCACAAGTTGGCAAGTCGGGAAGCGTTTCAGCCACTGTGTGCTGCTGTCCGAGAGCGGCGTGCAGTTGGTATAAGGCGCCTTCAGGAGCGTTGACGATAAAGCAGTTTTCCTCGTCTGCAGTCGTTGCGGCAACCGCGGATTTGGGAAACTCCGCGGCCAAAAGTTGCAGCTGTGAGAGGCGGACGGCCTGGTCATCGGCGACCAGCGGAGAGCCAGCGCTAAGTGCCGCTTCGCTAGCATTGGTGAGACCTAGCATTTCCTTGTACTTGCTGAGGCTGGCAGATAGCCGCGCGTGAGTAGACGGTTCGCGGTGCTGACCTGCGCTACTTTTCGGAACATCGTCTCCAGCGGGTTTGTCGAGCAGAAAGCACAATGCCTGGAGACACAGCGCGAATCGTCTGTAAACGAAGTTTTCATCGTCGACCGACAGTTCTTTGAGAAGTCGGTCGCATATCGATAGGGCTTCTTTGAAAGAGGTACCGCACTTCGCGCCGTGCCCTACGGCAAAATACGAGAGGTCAAGAGCTGCCGAGTGTGCGCGGGTGGCAGCGCTCTGCGCGCGGTAGATGGTGTACGATGCAAGGTAATCGTTACGGTTTAGCCAAGACGGCGCGCTGCGGAGCAGCTTGCCAAGGTAATACAGCACGTGCGCCCGGTAGCTCGGCAGCGCGCCAAAGCGCTGCAGAATAGGAAGTGAATGCGCAGCTCCTCGGGATTGACTAGTTAGCCAGCGGCCAACGGTCTCCGGGTGCCATAAACTCATGTTCTGCTGCGTGAACAGCGGCTCGAACGTGTCCTCGACGATGGCATCTAGCAACGCGTTCGCCAGCAACTGCTGCACTTCTCCGTGCAGACGCAGCCCGAGCAAGTGGTTGGCACCCGGAGGACCTGTAGCGCTCGCTGCCTTCGGCTGCTGGGGCAGCTCGTACCGGCAAGGCGTCAGCAGGGTCTGGATCAGCGTTTCGAGCTCGAACTCGCCGAGCAGGCCGTCGGTAAAGCCGCGAATGTCCTGCAGCTCGTGTGCGAGATCGGCGACATATTCACAAACAGCTGGATGCAGCTTATTGGCGGGCCGCGAAGCGCGGTATTCGCCGCCGTAGAGCAGCTTTCCGCTGCACTCTGCCCAAACTAGCAAGCAGCACTTCAACGCGGAGTAACACTTCGTTTGCAGCACAATGTTCGTTGCTCTGCGGAAAATCTCGTCGCACGCCGCGGTGTTCTGCTGCGCCAGCAGCACAGCGGTGCTCATGAGTTGTGCAAACAGCGCAGCACACCTTGCGGTGCAGTCGCCTGCGGGCGCCTCGTCGCCAGCCTCTAAAAAATCAAAGCGCTCGAACGCTTCGTAAGGCTCGGGAAGCGGCAGACAGAAACGCAAGTCAATGACGGTTTTCGCGTCCCACTGCTGCCACTTGTTGCTGAGAATGTGTTCTAGGTAGTGCACGTCTTGCGCGCAAATCAGCTGCCGGCGCTCGAGGCGGCGCGCGTGAAGCGTGATACGCGCGCGCAGTTGTTGGTTGAGAAACGCCATGAGACTTTCGAGCGGCTCCGAGGCCGCCATGAACTGCAGCTTCAGGTAGTACTCCTTTTTGCTGCTAAAGAGCGGCGCGCAGTCGGCGAGCAGCCGTTTGCTGGTGACAAGCACCGCGAATAGCGGCGAGTCAATCCACGTATGCAGAGGCAGCAGACCTGCTTGATAGTCTGTGTACAGCTGGAACAGCGAGTGCGATTGCAGCAGATGCACGATGCGCTCTGGCAGCAGACAGCGGTTTTGGAATACGTCCCGCTTATCGCGAATCGCGTTGCTGAGCAGGCGAAGCAGTTTGCACAGCACGTGAGAAGTTTCCACCGCCTTGTGATAATCCGCCAGTGCGGAGATTTCGAGGTCTGCGAAGCGAGAGCGGTACTCGACGGTAATGTCCTTGCGGAAACTAGCAAGTAGGCGTCCCGTCACGATTCGCAAGCGCGACAGCAAGTCTTCGACGGCCTGCAAAGAAAGCAGTCCTTTGCTGAATGCGTAGAGCGTGCGCGGCGGCTCTGACTCGCCGCGATGCCGCTTCTCGCGCGCGCCCGCACGCTCTGCCGTTTCATCTAGCGGAGAAAACGCATCGGATGGCGCGGGGTGCACGTCGCTGACGACGACCCGCTGCACAATCGGCTCGCTGCCGAACGCCAACAGAATGCTACGGTGCACCTGCATGATTGCGCCGATCAAAAGCGTGTTGTTCTTCAGCACGCGCTGTAAGAACGACAAGCAGAAGATCAGCTTAGCGGCGCTCTTGCAGCTGAACAAAAAGGTGTTTGACACGCTGCTCGATGCCGCGGCTGCCTGCGTCTCCGGCAAACACATCTTCATCAGCTCCACGATGACGCGCAATGTTGTATCGTGGGCGTTGTTCAACAGCAGCATCGAACAAAGCTCGTGCTCCATCGTGAAATCCATGCGACTCTTGCGGCCAAAGACGGCGTCCGCGCCCGGCAGCGCCTCGACTGTTGCACCATTGATGATCAGCCACTTCATCACCGCGTCGAGTCGACTGCCGTTGTAGCACTGTAAGTTTTGCAAATGGTTCGCTAGCGCTGACAGCGAAGGGTAACTCACGCCGTTCGAAAACGTGTTCAGCAGCTCCAAGTAGCAAGTGTCTACCCAGTGGGCAAGCCCGAGCAGCACAGACTGCAGCAGCGCCTTGAACTGCAGCTCGAACACTACACACGCGCCGCCGGCGTCGCGCTTTAAGCCCAGCACCGAGAACTCCGGCTGCTGAAACAACTTCAGCAGTTGGAGCGCCTGGTCCTCTTCAGCTGGGTCGCCACTGGCCTTGGCCGGCGCGGCGAGGCCGGCTTGCGCCGCACGCTGCAAGCTGCGCAAAAAGCAGAACTTGTTCGCCACAGAATCGATGCCGCGCGCGAGAGCTTCGTCAAACGACTTGGAGTGAAGTACCACTTCTGCCTCAGCGCGTGAAACTCGCTCGCGCAAGCAGTGATACACGAAGCTGTGTGACAAGTCAGCAAACACGTGGTACACACTGTACGTCTCGGTGTCCAACTCTTGCACGTAAAAAAAGAACTCTTTGCTCGAAACCGTCGTCACGTAGCGCAGCGCAGCGGTCAGCGCGAGGCCGCTTTCTGAACCGGTCGAGCTCCACTGTACGTAGCTGTACACGAGATTTCGCACTGGGAAGTCGAACAGCGTAATTTCGCCTAGCCCGCCGCCGCCGTGCGAAGTGAACCAGTCGAACCCCAGTGAGGGCAGCTGCAACCCGTTGCTACCGGGTGAGCCCAGCGCAGCAGCGCTAGTTCTGCCTGCTGCGGCTTTGCGGCGAGCGTTGAGGTCCAGCACCAGAAACGTTCCGTTCTGGAAAATCAGCGTCAGCGACGAGTCATTGCACTCGAGTCTGCAGAGCTTGTTTTCCAAACAGTTGCGGTGCTTCAGTTCGTTCTGCACGCGCAGTTTGCGTTCCGCAGTGTCCGCTTCCGCAGTCGATGCTGCGCAAAATGCTTCGTACTTCTCGCAGGCCGCGCGCACGTCACGCAGCGACTTGTAATTCACCCCCAGGTGCGGCCGCATCGCCTTCAGCTTGAAAGAGTCGAACCACGGAGGAGTCACTGTAAAATGAGGCAGTCTACATTTCAACAGCGTTTCGCCGTCCACTAGCGCGAACAGTGTGCCGCTATTGCTGTCGATCGCCAGCGAGTGGTTCGCAAGCTGACGTTCGCCGGCGCGCGGCAAGATAGTCAGCAGCGCGACGCGGCAGTTGTCGTCCCACCGGACAGCGTCGGCGCGCAAAACAGAGTTCACGAGTCGCTTCATCAGCGGCTTTTGCCGCGGGTCTGCAGTAAGCTGCAAAAATTTCACGAACAGCACGCCAGAGTGGTCCACTGCCTCCGTCTTTTCGACGGCAGTGACCACCAAGTGCTGCAACCACAGCGAGGTGTGCTCAACTAGCTCGTTGCGACTCGTTAAAAAGTACGTCGCGCCGGTTCTGACGTTGCAGGCCGCGCAGACGGGCGTGTCGAACTTCCACTCGAGATAGCTGTCGCAAATTTGCTGGAACGCCAGTACGCGCTCGCCGCGGCGCACGATCACGGCGAACTCGCTAACGCTGTCCTGTGTGAAGCAAAACATGCGAAGCAGAGTGAGCTCTGCGGCGGGCGGTGCATCCCGCTGTGCGCCTTCGTGCTGCGCGGCCAAGTAAAATCCTGGAGTGTAGTATGGCAACCGCTTCGACTCTATCGCGAAATGCTCGCTCAAACAAGTAAGCGGCGTGTTACGCACAAAGAAAACGGCGCGCAAGTCTCTGCTGTCGAATGGAAAAGAGACAGCGTGTGCGGTAACCAAGTTTACGAAGTGGATCGCGTTTGCGCTCAAGAACCACGCGAGCGGAAAAGTCAGTAGCTTGCCGCAGTCTGCAAACAATGCATCCGGCTGGAAGCGCGTGCCGACGGGTCTGATGAGCCGCTTCACGCTCGTCGCGTCGTCGAACTCAACTGCTCCGGAAGAGTAGCGAGGTTCGAGGTACGAAATGAGATACGACCCCGAAAATTTCGCCTCTTGCGAGTCGCAGCTCGACTGAGACGCAACGCACCGGGTCTGCTGTTTTTTTCGCTGCGCGCTCTCATCGAGGCCGTACATATTTCTGTCTAAATTTGACCGCAGCGAATAAGCACCTAGATAAATCGAAATGGAAAGTTGCTGTTCAGCTCCTGTGGTCCAAGGGTAGGATTCGAGCCTTCCAAGCTCGCAGCCCGGGTTCGAGTCCCGGCAGGTGCACTAACAGAAAATTTTTGCCCAGTGAAATACGACAGCTGCTGGATTTGAACCAACGCGGGCAAAGCCCAGTAGATTTCTAGTCTACCCCCTTAACCACTCGGGCAAGCTGCCGAAATACATATCCAAGGGTCCGGCTCGACGACTGAGACCAAGTCTTCAGTGCAACATCCGGGACTCGAACCCGGGTCTCGAGCTTGGGGGGCTCGAATCCTACCCTTGGACTAATGTTGCGTTGCCTCAAGCCGAAATTTGCTTGCCGAGGGTATTATGGAAAATGATAAATGGATGCCGAGGCTCGCTTTTGTCGGACTCTGGGAGTGCAAATTTACTCTTTGGTTCACCCTCGACCCGTCCATAACGTTCGAGCTGGTCAAGCACCAGCTCGAATCGCCCAGCCAATCATTCATTTGCAGGTACCACATCGAAGACACTTGCTTTGTCTTAGATGCTGCGTTAGCGCCTAACGAAAGCGTGGATGCGGTCGCGCCTGCCATCGTTGCTAGCATCAAGGTCGTAAACTCAATCCGCGCAAGACAAGCACGACTTTTGCATTATTCGCTCTGGCCGCACTACCGCTTTCTGTCGCCCGAACAGGTCGTCAGAACCGAAGTGCATTATCTTTGGCTCTACAAAGACGAAACAGGCTGGAATAAGTAAGTTCCTCAAAGATCGATGCAGATTTGCGCTCAGCGAAGCGCGTACGCTCGAAACTGTTTTCTTAGCTCTCGTTCGCTGCAAAGAAATCAGGAGCTCTCAACTACTCACAACCAACTGGAACTGCGTCACGGCGCTCGCAATGTACTCGGATGAATGTATCGATCCGAAGCATCAAGTATTCAGCACGGGCACGCTAAGGTTGACAACTACAACTGTTGATCTCAAGAAGTTCGAGCACAGTTACCAGGACGTCGAGAAGAGAGAACGGAAAGACAGCGTTTTTCGCTTGGCCGTAGTAAATGACTACTCCTGCTCAAAGAGCTTCGTGTGTAGCAAAGTCACAAGCGTGCACGAGCGGAAAATGGTGAGCTGCGTTTTGTCAATAAACACTTGTGAGGAGGAGGAGAAAACAGACTTTAAACAGCTGCTGACGCATTTTCCCCATCGTCTCAAGGTCGTCTACACTATTGAACGCGACGACGCTCATGCTATTCTTAAAGAGTTCGCCTCGCACTACATGCTTCACGACCTCGCTGAGACACCCGATGCAGATAGCTTGTGCAGCATCTGTCTGGAAGACTACGTGACTCAGAAACCCATCAAGCTACTCAACTGTCCGCATCACTTCCACAAAAACTGCGTTCTGCAGTACATCCGCTCGATGGTTGAAAGCACTGTTGAGAGCATCAAGTGTCCGATCTGCAGCACCAAGCAGCTTATCCTGCGCGGTCAAAGCCCGAACGCCCTTCTGTTTCTCAGCCTGGTGACGATAGCCCACGACCAGTTCATCAACGCGCAAATCACTGTGAAGCCTGGTTCCGTCGTCGAAACGCTGCACGACGTAGACGTTTCCGAGCACAAAGCGTACGTCCGCTGCTTTACGCTCAAGGGGACGCTGCGGTCTCTCCTTTTTCTCGGCAGGCTTACGCACGCATTTTCGAAAGGCAACTTGCTCAAGATCCAGCCAAACGGCACAATCACGTTGCAGTACGCGCTGTCTCTTCCTCTTAAGCGAAGCGACTATCAGTCAAAGCAGATCGAATTATTGAGCGAGCGACTGAAAAATGCGGGTTTCGATTTGCCAGAACACAAAAAGCAGCTACTCGCTTCGCTTTGCGGCAACTCTGTCGACACTGATCAACAGGACGTACCCATCAAGTTTGACGCAGCGTTTTTGCAACAATATACGGGCGCAACGCTCGCCGAAGCCGAAGTTGCGCACGACTTAGAGCTGATTCGCGAATCGGAAAACTCCTCTCTCAGCGAAGAAAGCAGTGCATTAGCCGAAAGCGGCGAAGATGAATGTCGGGACCCAAACTTGCATGAATTCGCTAGTGAGTCAAGCTGCTCATCCTTCTCTGAAGAAGAGTCTGCGAGTTCTTCAGATTGAAGATATCTGGTTTTCATTCATTATCGTCTTCATCTTCTTTATCCTCGTCGTAAATGTGCAATGAAGCCGCCTTATTGGATAAGTGCGCTATTAGAGTTTCTGCAATCAAAATCGGGTCTGTAGCTTGGTAGCCGCTGATCAGCAGCGCAACTTGATAAAGTATTTCAGTTTCTGCTTTGAATCGCGGCATTTGGTCTTGTTGGTGTAGCTCATAGAGAGCTTTGATCGTATCATGCTCTGGGTTGATTTCGAAGATTTTTAAGCTGCGCAAATACGCAAGATTGTCCTGGTTTGAGCCGACGTTGTGTCTCATCAAAGCGTCCATCGACGGAGTTATACCGTCTTCTGGACTCGAGATGAACACTGGCCAGCTTTGCAGCCGATGACTCACGATGATTTTGTCGACTTCTGACTCGCCAACGATCTTGAGCATCGTCGCAATCATGTCTTCGTACTTTTGTTTGACTTCATCAGCCTTCTTCCGCATTTCTCTGAGCTTTCCTCCGCGTGTACTGTCTGAGCCGTATTTGATCAGCGCAACATCAGCAAGCTGGAGCACGTCTCGGTTTACGTTTCGCAATTTTATTTCTGCAAACGACCCGAGCGTGTCCAAGCAGCCTTCGTCGAACGGGTTGTCCAGCAAAAGCAGATCCACTGGGCTTTCTTTAAAGTTTTCGATCGACGGTATGTTCTCAATCGATTTAACGTCGTTCACAAAGCCGTAGTAAATGTAGCGCTGTGTTTCTATCATGTTCGCAATGTAGTGTGCAAGGCTCACTTTAAACGGAACGTTTTGAAGTGAGTATACTCGAATCATTCCGGCAATCAACTCTTTCTGTGCGGGTGTTGGCTCATGAATGCAGCCCAGCGTAAAAAAGCGGCCATATGTGCGCCAAAGTTTAATGTACTGCTGCAGATTACGAGTATGCGAGGGGTCGTTCGTCTTCTTGAGTTCTGCAAACTCTGCGTCCGCCAAGTCGCTCAGTGATTTGAACCATCCGAAGATCTTGGACTGCAGGAACGAATTAATCATGCGCTTCTGCTCAACGTCGCCCAGCGACTCTCTATCCGCTTTCAGCTCGTCTGCGTAGCAACCGATCGCCACGCGGACGAAGCTGAGGTAGGAAGGCAACAAGTCGCTGTATTCTTCGTCGACCAACACGTCGTTCACATAAAGAACTGCCGCTGCTTGTATCTCTTCAGAACTGGCAGTCAGTGCGTCTAACTGCGGCTTTCTAGGAATCATGACATATGCATGACATTTAGGAGCATTAGTCTCGATCACAGTGTGCATCAGAACGTTAGAGCCATCGCGGAACAGACGTTGGTAAAACTCGTCCACTGCTCCATCTGAAGTTTCGTTCGACGCCCACAACGGCAAGTAGCTGTCCACTCGGAGTTTCTCTTTCGCAGCTGACATGTCGTTCACGATATAAATCGGTACCGAAGAGAATTGATGAAATTTCGAGATCATCGCTTCAACGCGTCCTTCGTCGCCGAACGCTTCTTGTTCGCCGCGCAGCAGCTTCAATATCACGACAGTGCCGCTATCGACTTCGCTCAGCATCGCTTGTGTGCGTACAACTGGCTCGACGCTGTAGCTGTCCCGCGATTTCGCGATCCACTTAGATTCGATGCCGTCAGTCGCGGACTTCGAATGGACTATTATTTCGTTCGCTATCAAGAAGCCGGAGTAGAAACCGATCCCGAATTGTCCAATAGACTCTGGGCCTTTTTTCGGTTCCCTTGCCGCATCGCGTTTGTAGGCAGACGAAGTGGCTATGGACCCCAAATTACTGTCGAGTTCATGCGCAGTCATCCCGATTCCATTATCTCTAAACGCAAGTACGCCTTTCGCTCTGTTTACGGTGACCACGATTTCTCCGTCGAACGACTCAGCACTGAGCGCTCTTTGTTTTTTCCGAATAGCGTCAATGCCGTTAGACACCAGTTCTCGCACTACCACGTCCTTTGAACTATACAGTGAGTCCACGACAAGGTTCATAATTCTTTTGCTATCGCTCGTAAACGATTTTAGAGTTGCGGCTGCATCCAGAGAATCTTCGCCGAACGGAACGGCGTTGAATTGCGCTGCTATCCGGCCGATTGGTAGACACCAACCTAAGCACGCGATCCCAACGCCTAGCTTTTTCATAGCGCAAATAATGTTTGCTGCGCTTTGTCCAGCGGTTGTGGTCTAGGGGTTATGACGTCTGCTTCACACGCAGAAGATCGGGAGTTCGATTCTCCCCGACCGTATTAGTGCAATTATGAAAACTATCTGAAAAAGAACTGTCGCTGCCTTCGCACTAAATTCCCGGCAGCCTGCAGCAGAACGAGTTGTTGGTAGCCTTGAACGTCCGGCTGTTTTTTGATAAAACAAAGCTTGCCTTCAATGCCGACAAATTTGTGCAACTTCGATCTCGAACTCGCGAGTAGCTTGCGACAGTGTATCTTTTCATTCGCATCTTTGTAAAAAACGCGCCACGCAGACGTTCCCTTGAACATGCGCTTCGCCGAGCTCAGCAATTTTTCACCCCACGTCAGATTCAGATTGCCCCAGGTCAGCGTCAGCGAGCCAGGTGGCAACTCCGAGTACGATGCGATGTACGTTCTGTAGCTCATTACGTGCACCAGCACGTGGTTAAATTTCGAACATAGCGTGATATTGCGGGCAATGCGGGGCTCTGGCAGCTCGTCTGACTTCAGTTGCGGCATGAAGCTGAACGGCTCGTCGCCTTCTCGCGTAATAATTTCGTCGCGATTGTTTGCGTTGAGTCTTGGCTGCACCGACAAGCAAGAGCCGCAAGTGTTGACACACTTCGAGGCGGTTGCTAAAGAGCACGCGTCAAGTAGATCACGCTTCGTGTTTAGTCCGCAAATGTTCTCGCCGTCGCAAGAAGTAGCTGGCGGTGCCTCGATTGGCACCTTAGCATCGTTGGCCGAAATGGCCGATGCGATACTCTGCGCAAAGCGGCGTTCGATTTCCTCGTCGCAGTCATCTGCCGCGCGAGTCACCAACGTCCAGTCAGCTGCATTCATGCGTGAATCCAAATCTTCAAAAGACGCTATCGTGGAAAGCGACTCCACTGAGATTTTTGCTGATAAATGTCGTAGCTGCGGAGACTTCAAACCTAAACGCTCCGAAGACAGCACTGATTCTTCAGAATCTACAGCTCTTTTA